GCACCCTTCCAGAGTCTCCCGCTTGATGCGCCAATCCACAACTTTAAACCGGGTGACCAGGTCCTGGTACAGAAGTGGAGAAAGGATCCTCTTGCGGAAAGGTGGGAGGGACCCTACCAGGTGCTGCTGACTACACACACAGCTGTTCGCTTATCAAACAGCGATAAGCGGACCCATTGCTCGAGGGTGAAACCTTTTCATCAGGAGGACACCAACTCCCAGGGTGTGGTCACTCCGGAAGCTGATAACACCCGGGAACAAAAAGCCAGCAAATGGAAAAGTGAACCTGCTGGAGACTTGAAGTGACGCTTGCAAAGATGTGGGCCCTAGTCTATTTGTTGGGGCTTTTATCCCTTCTGGGTACATCAAACCAAGGGCCTGATTGTTGTAAGTGTTCCCAAAACTCGTGTGCAACCCTTAGTAAGGACAAATATGAAACCTTTAAGTCTGCTATAATTAATGCCCACCTATTTCCCGTTTCCCCATGTTGCTCGCGTCAAGAAATTATACTAGTACTGGTATTCAGTGTTGGTAAGATGGCAAGGTGTATAAAGCCAGACTCAAAACTTTGGGGTACAATCCTCAAAGATCAGTTTTCAAGCCTCACAACTGTCAGTGGCCCCTTACTTACTACTATTTGGAAACCTAAGGACCCACCTGCAAACACATGGGTGGGAAATTCATGGGTGGCCCTTCTCAAGGACTCAGACCGAGCGCTAACTAACCAGAGTTGTCTTTTGTGTGCGCTTACTCCCGTCTCTAGCAATGACTCCTGTCCTTTCTTGCCTATCCCCCTCAATAGGACAGGTATAGTCTCAGACTGGGGCTTTAATCGAAATTTCTCTTTGTGATATAATGGTTCAGGGAGACTTATGGTGGCAAAAGTTACCGGATCTATCTGCATTTCCCAACACGGAGGTGGATTTAGAGTGGGACAGTCAAGGTGCAAGGAAACATGGATTTCTAAGGAGATCGCCCCCTGGGAGGGTGCATGGACATGCGCAAATGTCTCATATAACAAGTTTGACAATTGTAGCTGCCTATTGGGTAAGGAGTGGATTTCAGTTTGGGGCATTAATTGTACCCACTATCGAAATGGTACCCAGGTGAGTGGGAGTTTAACAAAAAGAAGCTCACTAACTCTAACTTTAATGAGCTCTCGTTCCACCATCACAAATGAAGCCTGTGGGCTATGGTGGATTTGTGGGCGATGGGCATA